ACCTCTGGTTCTTTTTGCCTCTGTTGCCGCCCAAGGCGCCATGCCGGGCATCGCGTGATTTAGATACGACGGTTGTCTTACCACGATGTGGGTCGTGTGGCGGAGATCCGGAAGGTTTTGGAGATCGGGGGAATTCAGGCATACGTGATCAACAACGCCAGAGTGCTCTTCCTTAACAAGCCGCCCCAACCACATCCTAGCGGTAAGGGTGCATCCCCGCACACGAGTGAGATCTGCGCTCGATCCCTTCTGGTTATGCTCGTTGGGCTGCAAGTTAGTGGGAATTAAGCGTAATGGGGACTTGACTTTCGTTCCGTCGGGGGGTGAGGAAGAAGAGAGGCCAGCGGCAAGTAGCGTCGATGGAAGAAGTCGACGTTGAGAAGGGAGCGGAGGAGGAGCAGAACAAGACCGATAGGTCACGTGACTTCCGGTTCAGGAAGGGCCAGTCAGCAAACTAAGCTTGCAGGGAGAGAAGGAGAAAAAATCGTTGTTTAGAATACCAATATGAGTGCCTCTCCTTTTCCGTATAGAGGATGGCCGGAAGGGAGTCCGACAATTCTCAAAAGAAGACCGGTGGCTAGAATACGAAATTAGACTCTAATACCATGTTGAAATTTAGAATAATGCGAAATACAAAATACTTGATTATTTCACTGATATGAGAGGGGGTATAAAATAATCCATACATGAATCCAAAAATAGAAAGATAATAAAAAAGAAAATAATATGAAAGGAAAGATATATCACTTAATATCTTAAATTAATTAATTCATATTAATTATTTAGATATCAAAGAAAATAACATAAAATTGGAAAGCCTAAAATAAGGAATGAAATAACTCCAAATCTAAGGAAATAAATATAAAATAAGAAAGAAAATAACTCATAATCTAATAAAATAATTTATTCCTCATAACTTCTCACATAAATAATTTTTTTCTTAATATAACTTCTAACACTCTTCCTCAAGTTGAAAGATGGTTGAAAATCATGTTCAACTTGGATTTGAAAACATGAAACAATGGATGAGGAAATTTTTGTGAAGTAGAACGTTGAAGTCTCCATCCCGTATTTCGGTTGTCATTGACTACAGTTCCTACAATATCTATAGGTAGGCGGAAGGCTATTATAGGTAATACTGCAAGGAAGTTTGTTGGGATATAGACAACTGCAGTTGTCTTTGACTGCAGTTCCTGCAGTGTCCGTAGGTAGGCGGAAGACTCCTACATATAATGTTGCAACGGAGTTTGCAAGGAAGTAGACAACTGTGGTTGTTTTTTACTGTGGTTCCTACAGTGTCGGTAGGTAGATGGAAGACTCTTATAGGTGATGTTGTAGGGGAGTTTGCAGGGTAGAATGCACATTGCAGGAAAAACTGACTTCTAATTGACTGCGGTTGTCTTTGACTGCAGTTCCTGCTGTGCATGTAGGTAGCAGAGGAGTTTGCAGGAAAGCAAACAATATCCAAAAAAAAAACTAAAGGGCATGACATGCTAAAAAGAAAGAAAAGAAAGCCCTGAAAGTAGGCCTTGCTATGGGAAAAGCTCTATAGGGTAGGACACAAAAAAGCTCCGGATGAAGGTCTGCTGCAGGAAGAATTTCGGTAGAGGATATGTTGTAGAAAAAACTCTGGAAAAGGGCCTAATATAAGAAAAATTTCAGTCGACGCTCTGTTGCGGGAATGCTCCGAAGGAGGGTCTGCTGCAGGAAAGATTCCGAAGGAGGGTCTGCTGCAGGAAAAAGTTCCGAATGAGGGCCTGATACAGGAAAAGGCTTCGGAGAAGAGTCTGTTGTAGGAAGAATTTCGGTGAAGGACCTGTTGTAGGAAGAATTCGGAGGAGGGCCTAAAATAGAAAAAAAATTTGAAAGAGGGCCTGATGCAGAAAAAGATTATGGGGGATGGTTTGCCACATGAAGAATTCCAGTGAAGGACATGTTGCAGAAAATCTCACAATGCTCACTTGAAGCTAAAGTGCTGTCATCGTTCCATAATCGCTCAACCTCAAGGATCAAACACCAAACTTGTCCGAAAAAAAAAGTCACTTCCATTCCTTCAGAGATTCATATACATCAAAGTTAAGACCGACATAAGGAATAACTCCTATGACAGATGGATGCCAAACCTTGCATAGTGCACGGAAGCTCTCATCGATTTCATAGACACTGAGCAATTCCATGGACCTAAGAAATCTAGTCTGCATCTCTCCAACCACTCCAATTTTGTGGACACAGTTGCAACTCCATCACAAGCAAGAAAAGCCAAATCAGTCAGATTAGGACAAGCCTTAATAACATCCTTCAATGCATCATCACAAAGTGTTACTTCAATGATCTCCAAAGTCTTTAGCCTCTTAAAAACTCCCCAACTTGGAGACTTGGTTAAGGATTCACCCCAAAGCTTGAGAGCTTCCAAGTTATGCATTGCACCAATGCAGTCGACTCGACCACCACTTCCCTCTGCTCTGCCCCCAAAGCACTTGTCAACTGTGTTGTCCATTAGAAGCTCCAGGATGCGAAGCATGTTGTTTTGGAGGGAGATCTAGAAGGCAAGGCTTGGTGCAAAAAAGGGGCAATAAACAACTAGCTCCTCCAAGCGGATGGCAATGGAGATTATTCAGGAGATTGTGGAATATGCATCAGAGACGGAATGAAAGACATTTGTGATGGACTGTAATGGACACAATCCTTCCACCTCTTGGAGACAGTTGTAGGTAAAACATCTCGAGTGATGCTTATGTGCAATTTAATTTGTTGGATAATGACATTAGGTAACATATCCATCATTGTTGCAGAAAAGTTCTACTACTTTCAACAAGAGAACCACACGAAAAAAGGCTAAAGTTCTCAAGAAACTGTTAAGGGGCATATGTTCAGAAGATCAGAAGCTGAGACAAGCCACTCACAAATCCTCCTTTTAAAAACCCTCTCTTTCTTTCCTCTACCTGCAACCTTCAGGAACTGTTCCTATAAAGAATAGTGTGGCAGTTTAAATAAATAATCAATCCAATGAAACACTTCATGTGCGGCATAAAAGAGCTCGGGGAGAGAGCGTCCCTCCCTTCCTACAAGGAGAATGGCAGGAAGGGAGTTCAACGGCTCTAGAGGGAAAACCGGCGGTTAGGGTATGGAACTTTGCTCTAATACCATGTTGAAATTTAGAATGATGTCGTATAAAGCGGGATTTTTTTCATTGATATGAGGGGGTATAAATAAATTTTACATGAATCTTAGAATTGGAAAGATAATAAAAAGAAAATAATTTGAAAAGAAAGATATATCACATAATATCTCCAATTACAATTCATATTAATTATTTGGAGATAAAAAGAAAAAATATAAAATTAGAAAGCCTAAAATAGGAAAGTAAATAACTCCAAATCCTAGGAAATAAATATAAAATAAGAAAGAAAATAACTTCTAATTTAGGGAAATAGTTTATTCCTCGTAACTTTTTACAGGAGTAAATTATTTCTTAATATAACTTCTAACAACTTCTTTCATAAGAAAATTTCATAGGAAAAATTTCATAGGTCCTATTCTTCAAACAAAAAATAACCATATAGATCTCTTCATTACTAATCCTCTCGTTTTGGCCCATTGGGGAGGGATGGGTTTTTTATTATCTATATTTTTTAATTTTAAATGTGGTCTGGTGTGTTCAGGATTGCCAACATAATTTTCAATTATCCACTTGATTAATATGCTTTAACATCTTCCTCTCACATGAGAATTATCTACATTAATCATGACTCCCCCTCAAATTTAAAATCGCCGAGTATTATGCAACAAGAGCCCACCAAGCCATATACAGGCTCTTAAACTTTGTGCAATCATGATATAACTCAATAACGACTTATGTGAGTCATAGAAGACGTGAATCTCTTGATCCTACCTTGTCCTCAGTAAACCTCTTATTCGATAACTCAACTATAAATTGGTGAAAACTTTGAATAATAATGACATACTAAATATATCATAGTCTACTTCTCTATTTTATAGTGTTTAATGGTTGAGGTAACAGAATTCATTTTTTGGGTTGGAAAAAAAAGGGGAGGTAAACTTTCAACCTCTTTAGAATCTAGCATCATTAATTTTCTTACCATATGTTTTATGAATTGCGGCTATTGGTTATCACGAATTTTTTTAGTGAAATCTACATACATATCACACAATTCTTATATATTTACATGTCTAGCACCCAAAGTTTGATATTCTCACTAAAAACACCTTTGTGTCATAAAGCTGTGCATTAAAAGGAGTATTTTACTTCTTAAAAGTAGTGATGATGATATTTTTTATGTGATGTCAAAAGATTTGAGTGGTATGCATGCAAATATGAATGTTCAGGTGTTAGATATGTAGATACATAAGATTGGGAGGTATGCATGTAAATACCCTATTTTTTTAATGTTAGCGCTGCTATTGTTTCTTATGATGATATGGTAGATTCATGCATGTTGTACATACAATATGTTTCAATCAAGTAAAAGCTTGTTTAATGATCCATATTTGCTCTTGTAGCAATCAGTTGCAGATCTAGGAATTTCAAGTCCCATGGAATGTGTCAAAGAGTCCAATGCTAGCCAGAGGTTATTTGTTCATTCTGAATGTTTGATATTATCTTTTATGCCGACTATATTATAAATCTATGATATTACTTCAACTGGTAAATCATACTTTCCCAGGATTTCATTTGAATCATCTCCAAACACCAAATGGAAAATGGTAGGCGCGAATCCCTCGCCGGGATATTCATTAGCCCCCCCCCCAGCCATACTAATTGATGATTATTTTTTTCTTTTCCCTACGTCTGGTTTTTAAGGTTCCGGACATCAAAATTACAGAAATTATCAAGGATCTCAACCCAGTTGCAAATTCATTAAATGTTGTCACTGAGATGGAAAATCTACTAGCTGGAGTTTCATCCTTTTTCATGGCAGATGACAATCTAAGAAAGGCTGAAACTCTTACAAAGGAGCTCGATAATGTGAGTTTTTTTTTTTTTTTAAATTAAGATTTACATTCATATCACTTAAATATCTAACACCTAAACTTTAGTTTTTACATGCATATCACCTTACCTATGCATGAAAGTCGTATTTCACTTTTCAAAAGTTAAAATGGCGATATTTTCGATGTGGTAAAAAAAATTTGGGTGGTATAAATATAAAAATGTAAAATTTAGGTTATAGATATATAAATGCAAAGGAATTGTGTGGTACGTTAAATAAGCTTTTTTTTTTTTTTTGTAATATGCACTGTATTCATTTATCTCGCCCACGCCAGAAACTAAATAGAAGGGAGCAATTTCCTATTTCAATGTTGTTTATATCGCTTATATGGTTCTATCGTTTATGCTTTAAGATAAATGCTGGGATTCTTACTGGTTAACCTCGCAGATATGCAATATTGTGAGAAGGAAGCACGAAGAAGCTAAGGAACTTCAGGTCCGCTCGATAATAAACAATAATGCACTGCTCTTGCTCAACTATACCATGCTAGAGGAAAAGATATCCTTTCATCAGTACAATGGCTGCTGCTTCTCTTATCCTTGCTTATTTCATCTGAACCTCAAAGTGTGTTCCTTTACATTTAGAACATTCAAGCGCTTCAGAAATTTTCCTCAAGCCTGCTTATTAAGGAAATCTGAGGCGTTCGTGAACTACTGCTCTGTTGCCGAAGCTTCCTGTAGTACATGCGCGTGCAAGGAAAGTTAACAATCATGCATCTGCTGCTTTGATAATTACTTCTTTCTGGTTTCTTATCCTTCGATATTAGTAACCCCACCTAATTGGAACTGAACAATCAAATTACTTTAGGTTTATACATAAAACATATTTTAGAAACTGATAGATCTCAATTTTTATGTCAACAAAAGTTTACATTTGGTGAGGCTTCAAGTTGATAAAGATTTTTTTCGGATAATGAGTCGATCCCAACCATATGAACCATTTTAAATAATTGAGATTGATTCTACTTTTTTATACTTCAAAATTCACTCTAATTTTAAGGAAAGAAAAATCTAGATCATCCAAAGTCAATGGTTGACAAATTTACCTTCAATTATCCTAAAAATAACAATGTGTGCGTTGTGTTTAGTACATTCGCAATGCCTCCTGAGTGTACTTAAGTTCCAATGATACCTCTGAAATTCTCAGGAAAAAGTCATCTATCAAAATTGCATATGTAAAAATTGATTTTTGACACTGTAATCACAGATCAAACTCTGGATTATATAATAGTAGAGCCTAAAGAAGCATGAAACCAGATGCTAAGGTCCAATTTATCGGAATGAACTTTAGTATGAATTGTACAATTAAACCTCAGTTTAGGCATATAAATAACAACTAAACAATAATAAAAGGAAGATTCACATACATACCTCTCAATTCTTATGTATTTATGTAAACTTTGATTATTACATACATAACACCTTACTCATGCATGAGGTGTATTTCATTTTCTAAAAGTTATAATGGTATTTTTTATTTGATATGAATACTTTGGGTAGAGTATAAATGTAATAATTAAAATTTAGGTGTTAGATATGTAAATAAATAAGAATTATGTGGTATGTATGTAAATGCTCCATAATAAAAACCAACTCAAACACATGTACAGGAAACTAGACAAGAAGCCACCTCGGGAATATAGCGGTAGTGCTCACTAAAAAACAGCATTTACTGAGCCATGCATATCCTTGATAGATTTTGTTCAGATGATATAGTCTCCAACAGTCACAAGTATTATCATTCTAATAGTTACAACTGTTGATTCGCTAATACAAAACTAATGCAAATAACATTTTAAAAATAATGATAAAATGCAATAAAAAAAAACTTTTGAGATAATCAAGTTTTTAAGCCCAAAAAAATTCAAGTGCCCAAAGATGTAGTATGTCATCACATCATCGTTAGTTTCATCCCAACACTTTGGGATCGGTTTTATAAATTCTCATTCTCAATAGAACATATGATGTGTCGTAGTATCAATGAAGTCGGATACTCCAAAATGTGTTACTGAAGAAAACGGCCATAACTCTGCTATTCAACATGCTAAGTATATGGCAAACATCTTCAACGCAATTTATTTTTCTATGTCCAAAAATCAAATTGTACGGGTGGTTTATGTTAGAGCTTCTAAAGAGCCGTCAAATGTCTTGCATGATAGTTGCCCTGGCAATGGCAGCAACATGGGCCTGAGGTTCAAATGAGATTTAGATGAGCTTGGTTCAATATTTAACACGTCAGCCAAAAAAAAAATCATCTAATCAAATATGAACTTTGACATAATATTAACATCTCAAAGTCACTAAAATATTTGATTTTAAAACAAAAAAAAAAAATGACTGAGAGGTTTGAACTACATTTTATATAAACCTGTAGTCAACAAAGCGTGACAAGATGAACCAAACAATTAAGAGCATAATTAGGAACTTCAATAGACCGTTTTGGAGGCAAAACATCCTCCCAATGTTATATGCATAAAGTCAAAACTATCATCTCGATAAGAAAAATCTAAAAAGTAGAAAATCACTCAATTCCTACTACAATCCCAAATTGAGATTCATTAAATGCCTCCAATTGTAAAACCTGCAAAACCAATGACTAACCATAGAAAAAATACCCCATAAGATCCCATCAAAGCCCCATGATTACAGCGAAGGTAATGGGTAACGAAAGGCAACCATGCCAACATAAATGACCTAAATAGAAAGCTTGAAACTAGGGACCTACCACGAATTGAACTAGCAGCCCAAAGCAAATCACATAAATCAATCTTATATTAGAAATCAAATTAATAAAAGAATGCATCTTGTCCATGATACGGGAGTTAACCCAAACCACGACGCAAGACAACTTTATTAATGATCTAAACATGGTTATAATGATGACTCGAAAAAAGAAAGAAAGTGTGTAAGTAAAAGCATAGAACAAAACATACAAAATAAAAACTCAACAAATGAAGACACAACAAGCTTGACGAGAAGGAAGTCCGTAGGGATGAGCTAGAGCAGCCACTATGGTGAAGGCCGGAGAGGTGTCGGCGGCTGTGGAGGAAGGTGGACAGGAAATCAACCGTAGTAGGGGTGTCGAACTGCAGCTGAAGGAAGCAGGGAGGAGGTGCGACAAGTACTGGTTGTCCGTGAGGAAGCCTGTTGTTGTTGGAAGGCAGCAGGAGCGGTGTTGGTCTGCAAGGATGCAGGCGGGAGGCCGGCGAGTGTTGGCTATCCAGGAGGAACAATGGGAGTTAGCTGGCTGCGGGAGGCGTGCCGAAGTGGGGCTATAGCAGCAGGTGGAGAGGAGGCATGGTGGTGTTGCTTGCTGGTAGGAGGCAGAACACAGGAAGGCAGAGCAGTGGCAGCAGCATTTTTTGGACTTTACGGCAGAGAACAGTGCTGGCTGGATCTCAGAGGAGGGGAGGGAATGAGCAGGGGCTGCTGTTGCGGTAATTTGGGGAAGGGGATTGGAGATTTACGGAGCCTGTTGGCTGCAGGTGAGCAGCACGGATGGTGAGGCAGTAGGGAAGGGGAAGGGGATCTGCAGGGATGATGGCTGGGTGAGGGAAGCTGTGGAAAGTATGGTAGACAGCCGAAAGGGAAGGGATAAATATCTCAGTGGACGAGCTACAGCCAGACCACCGACAGCCGGAGCACTATCTCAACAGCGGACACAGCCCTCAAAGGGAAATTACCAAGGTTAAACCTTGAATTCAGATTTCAAAATCAAGACCCCCTAACTCTAAACATTCAACTCCTATTTATTTAGGAAAAAGGAATTAAATTAGGAAAAACCTAGGAAGGAAGATAGAGAGAGGAAGAAAGGAAAGAAAAAGGAAGGGAAAAAAAGGAAAGGAAGGAGGAGGAAGGAGGGGGCGGTGGGGCCCCCCCTCCAAGAGGACCAGCCGATCCCCCATGCGCCCCGCGTCAGTCCTATTAGACATCTCTCAAAAGCATAACTCAAAGAAACAAAAAAATAATCAATTACCAATTAACAACTATCCAATCATAAAACTAAATTTGCTCATATTATTTACTTGCTCTATCGTTTTCATCAAGTGTAAAATTATAAATATGCCAAATATTTCTGGCTTGTAAGAATTTACCTGCAAAGAATTTAGCATTTAGTATTCATAAAAGTAATTCAGGTGGTAAACTGTGTGCTTCTTGAAAAATAATAAAAGAATCATCGCAATCAAGTTGATAGCACTAGGACACAACATATTTATGGAATTCACCATATCGGACACAATTTCTGAAAATAGCTCAAGGAATAAGCTAGATAGATTTGTCTGGGAAAGTTTCGGACGTAAATTCATAAGATATGAATGAAAAAAGAGAAGAATACAAAGAATAGGCAAGAAGTCATAATTTTCATGAATTAGGGTTTAGTTCTAATGTGTTAACAAACTTTTTAAGTAACCCAACCTTTTTCAAGAATTCTAAAGAAAACCTTCTTGAGTTCAAAAACACCAATACTTCATCTCTTAGCTTAAATTGCACGCACATCCTACTTACATCAATAGAAAGCTTATGATTTCCATGGTTAGTACTTAGTAGCATATTTTATGTGAAGATCCTAATGAAAGTCATGCACTGTTACATCAATGATTATGTAAATATACAAGGTCAAGGATTAATAGGAAAGAAAATAAAATCAATAAGCTTTACGGGTTGAAACCTTATAATGCTTTCAAATGAATTGGTGCAAATAGACTTACTAACAATTTAATTATATGTAATTCAGGCATTGATACTATCAGATTCTAATCAGATGCATGGTTCTCTATTAGAAAACATAATAGATCGCATAAACGCCTATTAACTACCCCAATCCAGCTGGAAATTTTCAAAAGTAACTCATGAATTTTATATTTCAATAAAAAACAATTATTTTAGGTAGCCCATACAAATTAATCACCTATTTAAAAAATGACTCAACAATGTGAGATGAATCAGTAAATTTATGGCATTTTTTGTGTTAGAATAGAAAAGAGTAGAACTAGGGTGTCTCATATTTATGTAAAGAGGGGTATAAATAACTTATTATAGGAGCTACTAGTAAGGAAACAAATTAAGACAGAATGACGGAAAAAAGAAGGTAAATAAAAAAAAATCAAAGTAATTAATACAGAAATCCGCATATTAATGTTCCAATATTCTAATACTCCCCCTAAGTTAAAGCATAGATGTCAACCATGTTCAACTTGAATTTGAAATCATCGAACAGTGGCCGAGGAAAGTTTTTTGTGAGAATATCTACTAGCTAGCCACTAGATGACACAAATGGAAAACAAATTTCTCTAGACTTGAGCTTTTCCTTAATGAAGTGGCAATCAATCTCAATATGCTTGGTGCGATCATTCTGGATTGGGTTGTAAGCACTTCTAATGGAAGTCTTGTTATCACAAAACAATTGTAGAATAGCGAAGACTAACATACGAATTTCATGGAGCATGATGAGTACCAAAGAGCTTCAAATTCTTAGGGACATGGATCAAAATTCGGCTTCCGCACTGCTCCGAGCAACTATAGATTGCCTCTTGCTTTTTCACGTGAACTGGTTTCCCCGCACAAAAAAGCAGTGCCCCGAGATAGATCATCGATCCTGGACGAACTCGGCCAAATCTGCTTCTGTGTAAACTGCAATAGAACACATGTGTGGCGGGAAAAAAAAACAAAATCTTAGTGTGCTCTTTAAATAGTGGAGAATCTGGTGGACAGCTTGGAGATGATGCTCACAGGGATCATGCATGTATTGACCGACTATCTCAACTGTGTGGCATATGTATGGG